TGTTCAGCGAGACAGCCATGTTCATGTGGAAAACAGATTAGGATTACAACACGTATACAACAGGAAAACGACCGCAATAAAAAGACAAAAACAGGGTGCAAAACGGGATTAAAACTGGGAACAACCGGATAAATTACCAGTAAGCGCCAAAGACGCTTTGGCCAGTACCAATTTAATCGATCCATGATATATTGGATCAGAGAAAATTTGCCAAGTCAAATTTCGTTTCAAGTGTTTATTCAAACACTGTTTTCCACGTTATTTCAGCTGAAAAGCTCGATCAGAATGGCACGCCAAAAAATCGAGTTACCGCGTAGCACTCACAGAACAGATTTTCAAGTCGAAGGTCAGTTCAGTTCAGTTCAGTTCAGATGGGGACTGGAACGATAGGAGAATCCCGTGAGTGTTCCATCTTGAGTGCATCGTTAAGCCAGGAATTGATGAAGTGCTCAGTTATTGATGGATCTAAAACGGAAACACCCGTATCGCACCCTGGCCAACCAGGTAATGCCCAAGTTTCCTGCCCTAGCAGTCCCTGCTGTGGCAGTCACGTGAAGTAAGCGAAAGATAGGAAGAGAAATCGAAGGTACAGAATAGGGAAGTGCACTTAAATAAGAAAATAATACCAATGCGTGAAGAAACGTAGAGAAAAGAAAAGCAAAGTACGAAGACGCGAGTTACTCAGGAAAATGGAAAGGTTTCGTGTTTCTACCCAAGAGCGTCAAGTTGCCGCTCAAACCCCTTAACCGTAGATCACCTGATAACACTTTTCGGAAGCATGTTCCCGCAGTCGATGACATTGCGTGACAGCCGGATTTCCGCCCTAATCCGCTCGGACCGCGGTTTTTCTAGCTTCAACGAATGACCGCGTAGATCAGACAGTCTAGCGGGACTGAATAGCCAAGGTAAATCTGGACCAACCTTCCCAGTCAAGATACGGTATGTTAGGATTAGGTCTCCTCTAAGCCTTCGGTAGTGCATTGAATGCATTCCCAAACTAAGTAGCCGCTCGGGGTACGTCCGTCCCCGTAATCCCTCGGCTAACCTAGTACCCACTCGTAAAACCCTCTCTAGCTCCATTTTGTCCCGGACGAGGCAGGGCGGACAAGCCTGGACGCAGTATTCCAGATGAGGCTGAACGAAAGCTCAGAACAGCCTCGTAAAGATGCCGCCCGTCCAGACTCCGAAAGAACGTCGAATCAACCACAACATGCGGAAACCTCTGCTTGCGGCCTTCTTCCAGTTGTCGCCGGAGTGTAAAGCCGAAGAGTGTACGACGCCTAGGTCAACGTGGCTCGATACATGGGGAGTTCGACCCCACCGACCAAGTACTTCGCAGGAGGACAACCTCCTCCAATTCGAAGAACAGAGCACTTTGCCTGATTTATGGGCATGTTGACTTCATCGAAACTGTAGATAACCAATATTAGTCAAACATCTGAATGATTTGGCCTCACCAGCCACTGATACATTCTTTTCTAGAGCCACTATCTCTGCTTAGCAGCAGCTAGTCGCCATAGCTTCTATTTAACTCTACGAAAATACGGAGCTCGATCGCTTCTTACATTGTTCATTCTCTGGGATTGTTTGCTTCACAGCTCAGCTGGTTTGTTGACCTATTACGTGCCACCGTAGGTAGGATCCACTAGTAACTGAAGGCCTAATCCGAACTCTATTGCTGGTCACTCTTCTCTCTCCTACCGCGCCGTTATGTGTCGTTCGTCCTACTCGCTTCAACTCTTCTTGACAGCAGCTAGTCATTGTTGGCTCCATGTAGCTCGCAAGGAGCCACTCCTTGACTTTCCAGCCTTCATTTTCCTCTGACGTCTGTCTCTCTAATCTTCGCCCGCATGTTGATTTCTTCATCGAAACTGTAGGTATCCAGTAGTGATCAAACGTCTTAATGACATGGCTACACCAGCCACTGATACATCTTTTCTAGTGCCACTATCTCTGCTTAGCAGCAGCTAGTCGCCATAGCTTCCATTTAACTTTGTCGACATTCAGAGCTCGCTCCATTCTTACAATTTTCATTCTCTTGGAATGTTTGCTTCACAGCTCAGCTGGTTTGTTGACCTATCGTGTGTCACCGTAGGATCCACCAGTAACTGAAGGCTGAATCCGATCTCTATTGCTGGCCATTCATCTATCTCCTAGCGCGCCGTTATCCGTCGTTCACCTAACTCGCGTCAACTCTTCTTGGCAATAGCTAGTCATTGTTGGCTCCATATAGCTTGCAAGGAGCCACTCCTTGACTCTCCAGCCTTCCTTTTCTCCTGTCGTCTGTCTCTCTAAGCTTCGCTCGCATGTTGACTTCGCATCGAAACTGTAGGTATCCAATAGTGGTCAAACGTCTTAATGATATGGCTGCACCAGCCACTGATACATTCTTTTCTAGAGCCACTATCTCTGCTTAGCAGCAGCTAGTCGCCATAGCTTCCATTTAACTCTGCGCATATCCGGAGCTCTGTAGGAGTCGAGCCTTTCTTACAATATTCATTCTCTAGGATTGTTTGCGTCACAGCTCAGATAGTTTGTTTACCTATTACGTGCCACCGTAGGTAGGATCCACTAGTAACTAAAGGCCTAATCCGAACTCTATTGCTGGTCACTCTTCTCTCTCCTACCGCGCCGTTATGTGTTGTTCGTCCTACCCGCATCAACTTCGCTTGACAGCAGCTAGTCATGGTTGGCGCCATGTACCTTGCAAGGTGCCACTCCCTAATTATCCAATCTTCATTTTCCTCTGACGTCTGTCTCTCTAAGCTACACTCGCTTGTTGATTTCTTCATCGAAAATGTAGGTATCCAGTCGTGATCAAACGACTGAATGATTTGGCTTCACCAGCTACTGATACATTCTTTTCTAGAGCCACTATCTCTGCTTAGCAGCAGCTAGTCGCCTTAGCTGCCATTTAAATTTGCCGACATCCAGAGCTCGCTCTCTTCTTACAATGTTCATTCTCTTGGATTGTTTGCGTCACAGCTTAGCTGATCTGTTGACCTATCACTTACCTTCACTGGCCGGTTGATAAACTCATCGACCCTATAGGCATACACTAGTGACCAAGCGTCTGATTGGAATGTCTACATCTGGCCACTAAGCCTCTCCTAGCGCCACCATCTCTCGGTCGTCGTAAATTCGGCATCTCTCTTCAGAAGTAGCTAATGGCCATTGGCCCCATGCATAAGCGATGACCCAGTGCTTGTTAGGAGCCACTCCGTATCTCAATAACCTTGATTTCTTTAGAATATCTACATCCAATCCATCCGCTGCCCTGCCAATACTTGATTTTTAGGACTCTCTCGCGGCAAACTATTTATTTCCGTTTATTATGCCTCCTTCTCGGATTACGCTGACTACGTGCTGTTCATGCACCTGACAATCACTACCAATATTCTAACTCTCTTTGCTCTATCCCCAAGCAATTATCGGCTCATACTAAACGGATACTTCGTACTTTACTTACTGGTACAACGCTCTTGTCTCTACGCAGGCGATAGCAATCCACCTATACGGCTAATGATTCTATAGGATACTCAAAAGACATTTTCAGCATAATTATTGTTGCACAGTGTACATGCTTTTGTCTCAAGCCCAAATGTTATAACACAAGACATTAACAATATTCAACTCCATGCCTGTTCTTGCGGTCTTCTCTCGGTTGTCCCTCACTTTCCCTTTTCTCTGAGGTCCGGGACTACTTGGAGATCTGGGATTGGACTGAGGAACAGTTTTGGCCCAAGACGGACGTAACAACCCACAAGGAGTTACATGGAGCATGGCAGAACTCCGAAAAGACCAAACTACAATCACCATAACCCTTGTCCAGTATGGAGAACTGGACATATCCTCATTCTCCCATACATTATACATCTGAGAAATCTGGACAGCGAAAAGTTGATACTTTTGCTCACCTGGACATACAACATGAAGAATAATCGCGATGTCCCTCTCCTCCACCGACCACAAAAATCATGGTGACCCCGATCAAATTACCTGTCCAACTAACAGAGGAAATTAGAAGCCATTACTCTGCGTAAAAATTGAAGGTGAAACCAGTCGTCAAGCGGCTTTGCCAGTTCAACATTAATGTTCAAAGTGGTTTACAGCAGTGTTGCAGGACGTGGTGGATTTCGCCTGGCAAGCGTTCTCCCTATAAAAAGCCAAAAATGTCTGTTTAACAACACTGCAACGTGGCGGATGTGACTCGCCACTGAATAAAGTCACTGCCCACAACTACATACTGGCAAATCGACTAGATCCACATATCAACTCTTCTTGACACAGTTTCAACTACACACGATTGAACCCGGAGTATCATCGTGATACACAACAGTTTTTAAACCTTGATCATGCCTAAGTTGGTGCGTCTCTATGAAGCTGAGAATAAACTATTTATTTATTTATTTTATCATGGACATACGACCAATTTTCTACTAATACTGTCACAGTTGCCATAAAATGTTTGTACAGTTGTACATATCTGATCATGCCTCCATGGGCGTGCCTCGCATAGTCGAGAATAAAGTATTTATTTATTTATTTAAATATGTCAGCTCCATCGCTTCTCGATCATAGCTTGGATGCTCGTCATTGCGTAACGGAAACTCCGGAGAAGCCATCGCACTCGTAGCAAAAGCAACATGATTGTGGCATATTCAACAGGTGTGAATCAGGTGGCCGTTTGAAGCAAGCCTCCATCTGTGCATTAACGACGTGCGGCGGTAACCGGCTCCAATTATTCACAACGCGTGTGGATAGAGCAAGAATTGGCCGTACTTTGAGCCTCCGTGGTTTGAATATTTTCCATTGGTGGCTTCTAGTCGAACTCCCTAGGTTGAGGTGGAAGAACTCCGGCAACTCTCCCCTAGTTCTCCCCTGAGGATACGGCGGGTAGAAATTAAGTCCCCACGCCGTCGACGGTAATCCATAGAAAACACATTCAAATGTCGAAGCCGAAGGGGCTACGGCAGGTCACGTAACTCAGAGACAAACTTCGATCCTCGCCGTTGGACCTTTTCGATCATGTCACGCTCAAGTTTAGAAAGGGGGTAGGTTGCAGGGAGGCCGTATTCCAGCACCGGGCGCACATACCAGGTGAACAGAATTCTAAAAGGTTTCAGTGTCAAGCGGCAGAAAGCTCTTCTGATGGCATGAAACATCATGTAGACAGAGGCAACACTCTTCATGGTGTCCTGAGTGAATCTTAAGTCCGGAGAAACAATCACGCCTAGATCACACTCTGCAGTTACATTTTTGGGCAAGAAACAACCTATGTGGCGAGCGCCGAATGGTTCAGCAGCGCCGATAGGCAGGACGGAACATATGTCTTGATTAATGGGTAAGCGCCACTGAATCGACCAACAGTGAAGGAGATCAAGTGTCAGTTGTAGACAATCATCATCCGCTAGAGAGGATACCTCCTTCCATATATCTAGCTAATCCGCGTAAATCAAGTAAGCCGATTGAAGCTCAAACGGTAGATCGTTGATGAAGTTGTTGAAGAGTTCGGGACCGAGGACGGAGCCCTGTAGGACACCGCGGGTCATATGCACAGGATCGGAATCTGTTTCGTTCACTTTCACCAACATGAAACCAGTGTGCAAGTAATCGGAAATCCACGACAGAACGTTAGCAGTGATACCGATTCCTTGAAGTTTGTGGAGAAGCTGTTCATGCGGGACGTCATCAAAAGCTTTACTGAAGTCCACTAACACAACATCCAGGCGTTTACCAACATCCAATGAATTTGCCCACTTTTCTCTAGCCATAAGCAAGTTGGTAGAGCAGGAGGCAGCTTTGCGAAACCCATGTTGGGCACTGGATATCAGATCCAACCGTTCGAGAGGAAGCCGAAGCGCATGTTTCAGGACCCGTTCCATGAGTTTGCACATTATCGATGTAAGGCAAATGGGCCGGTGGCTAGCTGTGTCTTTCAGGGATCGCTCCTTTGTATATGGGCTTGATGATGCCTATATTCCAAGCGGTCAGGAGAAGTCCGGACTGAAACGATCGACGGAAAACCTGCGTGATGGGTGCAGCAACGTACTGTGCCACAGTCTTGAGGAACAAGGGGTGCAAGTCGTCAGGACCAGGCGATGGGTATGGATCCAACTCACGGAGAAGTTTCAACACAACGTCGGTGGTTATTTCGACGCGCGCTAACAGAGAAAGGGAAGTGCACGCAGGTCAGTCAGAGAACGACGCTGATGTTGAGTACACTAAATATTATTGCGCGCCAGGAGGTTGGTTTTGTCGGTGTCTTCGTGGACTGGATCTCCATGCTCAGAAGAACACAGGGCAGGGATAACACTGCCCGCTCTAGTGCTCTATTTCAGGTAGGAGAAAAGCGTCTTAGGAGTGTTTCTAAAAGGTGTGGCTAAGCAGAGTTCATATGGTTGACGTTTCTCACGATTTTGCAGGATACAGGTATTCCTAACCGTTTTGTAACCGATGTAGTCATGCTCTGATCGTGTGATACTAAAGCGGTCCCACAACTGAAACAGACTGTATCTAAAAGCAAGTAGAAACGTTTCTATACAACTCTATCGAAGTACGAATAATTAAAAACATTTACTTGTAAATCATTAACAGTTGTGTCTGGTCCGTTAGTCGTTTAGCCTTATTCGGTTACGAATTGGTACTAGTGTCATTATTTCCGGGCATACAATGTCTTCCTTTGACATTGTATGTGTATCGTTTCACAAAAGTTTAGTTTTCCAAAGTAATCGTCCGTACGGGTTTAAAAACACTTCAAAGAACCGGCCTCTATTAATCCTTCGGGTATTGTATTCCATAAGTCTACGATTCTTCGTTCGATACAAAGCTGACGTGATACTTTGTTCATGTTAGGGACCCTGAGTTCGTAATGGTGTCCTCGGGTGTTACAGGATCTTCCTAGATGAAATATTGGCCGCAGTATGGGGAAGTGATTTAAGTGTAGTACTCGATGTGTCATAACAAGGTCAATTCTTACTCGCCGATAGGATAGTGTGTAGAGTCCGAGTCTTTCACACCGTTCTTCATACGGAAGCTTTTGTAGACTCGGTATCATTCTAGTTGCGATATGCCGTATTTTCTCCAGCTTTTAAGTTCCCCATTGGGTTATCGGATGCTAAGCTGGGAGACCGTGTTCAAGGGTTGGTCTAATAAGCGAGGTGAATGGATGAGGGACGGTTTCTTCGGACCATGTAAAGAAACTGCGTCTTAATGCCCTGCGCATTCGAAGTCCCGCATGGTACAATTTCCCTGTATTTTCTAGTGATCTCATTTCATGTCTTGAGAGAACTCCTAGTCTCTGACAGATGTGTTGGGATGGAGCAACTGGCCGTCCAAGGTGTATGATCGAATGGTTGGAGGTCTGGTGATATTGATGAACTCCGACCTGCTTGCGTTAAGAGGGAGCTGCATTTCAGTGGACCACGTTGACAGTCGCTCTAAGTCATGCTGGGGCGAGCTCAATCGTCCCGGTTCTCAGGGATCCTCCGGATTTTCAGGCCATCTGCAAACAGTGCACATGGTGACTGGAACGGCTGCTGAAGATCGTTGATATATATAAGAAATAATACTTTCCCAATTACAGTTTCTTGAGGCACGCCACTAGTCGATCAGAACCACTCTGTCAGGTGGTCACTGACCTGTACTCTAAACTTTCGTCCCACGATAACCTCGTTTAACCACTGAAGTCACCTGCCACCGCTTCCGTATGTCCTCAGTTTACCAAGGAGTACCTCGTGGTTCACTCTATCAAACGCCTTACTAAAGTCGATGTACACCACGTCAACATCAATCCGTTCGTTGAGAGCTCGTACCCACTGGTGGTTTGCGTACATCAAGTTGGTGATGCAGGACCCTCCTTTCGTAGAGCCGTGTTGCGCTGGCGTCAATACGTTCATCGATTCGAAGAACGATAGCAGACACTTTTCACAACCTTCTCAAGCTCTTTGGATAATGCCGAAGTCAAACAGATCGGTCTGTAGTTCTCTAGTTTACTCGGATCACCACCCTTGGGAAGCGGCCTCACTTCGAGCACTACCAGTCGTTTGGGACTGATCCTTCAGAGAGCGACTTATTGAAAAGATTTGTCGCGGCTGGTGAGATGATAATCGATAGGGACTTGCGTATTAGTGGGTGAAGTCCGCCTGGTCTGGGGCTTTTAACCATCGACGTTGACGAGTAGCTGATACACTTCGGCTGCATCATATTGTAGGCTGTCGAGCAAGACTGGCGCAACCTGTACCGGTACTGAAAGCGCCGCCGGTTTACAGGGAAATACAGTAAGGAAGTGCGTAGATAAGGCGCCCGCGCGCTCCGCGCTCGAAATGAGCGTCATTCTGTCTAAGCTCTCTGCGACCGGTAGATAGCCCCCAGGATTCAGTTGACGTTTCAAGTAGGCAAATATTCTTTTGGGTGCAGTTGTGGCCGAGGATGCTAGCTCCTCTTCGAACTGCCGGCGTTTCTTGATCTTTGTGGTGTTACATAATTTACGCTGTCTCTTGTACACCGTGTAATCTTCATCATAACCCGAGCTGATGTATCTATCTCAAAGTTTGCGACGTCGTCGCACTAACGGTCTATATTCCGTATCAAACCAATGCGGTTTGACAGGTCCGATTTTTGGATACTTAAGGGGAACGAACCGAGTGCAGAGTGAGTTAAGCTTCCCCTTCATTAATGTCCAACAGGCCTCAAGTGGCGCGTCCTGTGGTAGTGTCCAATCAGTCTAAGCCCGTTGAAGTCCGTCTTCCAAAAGTTGAATGTCGGATTCCGTTGATTGTAATATGGTAACGACAATTCTAAGCTTGCCACAATGCAGCAGTGGTCACTGTTCGCCAGAGATTCGATGACTCTGATCTCGTTCAGCTTTTGCTCGTAGCTCGTAAACATTAGATCCAGACAAGATGCAGAGTACGTAGTTACGCGCTTCGGTTGGATGACATGTTGTGTTGCCCTGATTTCAATAGTCATTTTAGCGAATGGAGCCTCAACGTTGCCATGACCA